CAAAATGGTGGAATGAGCTCCCCATTGAAATCAGGACAGCAGAAAGCTTATCCATCTTCCAGCGCAGACTGAAAACTCATCTCTTTAGACTCCACTTCGAGCGATAGAATTACTAACAAAGCACTTATATACTAATAAAGGACTGGCTTATCTAAAGCCAGTTGAGTAGGACTTGAAATGTTTTGGCTCTATGAAACCTGATGTACTTATGATTCTGTTTTCTTCAAGTTTGTATGCTCCTGGTTGAATGGACTTATTAGTCGCTTTGGATAAAAGCGTCAGCTAAATGCAATGTAACCATCACTACCTCGCTGTATAGAGAAAATAACGAGAACTTGAAGCTAAAAAGACATTAAGAGGAAAGCACAACACAGGTAATGGGAGAAAACATGAGCTGAGCACACACAGATTAGATAAGGCAAAATCACTTTTCAGGTTACACACACTTTCAAGTCTTACAAAAACAATCATCAAATGAAATCCTGAGTGTGTTACCCAGCGTGAGATTGTCCATGTTTCGTTTCTGAGCGAGGAGTCGCTGCACAGCTGCGTCCAAACTCCAACTGATGCTCTTTTGGACCTTAAGTAATGGAGAATAACAAGAATCTTAATCAGTGTTTCTGTTGGGAATCTCTCTGCAGAATAGAGATTAAACAGCGGTTGATTTCATGTTGGCAGCAGCATGCCTTAATTAAAATGTTATGAGCCAGACAGGCCTTCTGGATTGTTTTACCAATAGTTTTTATCAGGTTTTATTTAATATGAGAATATGAAGCCTAGAGCTGAGGGAAATTCTTTGTGTTAAGAGTTGCAGCCTGACCTTGCATAATGACTCTAGACGGGACTGTTATATTAAAAATTGCGTATTTTTAATATAACGAAAGACGTGCCTTGGTGATTTCTTACTTTATTTAGATTTCCCATGCTAACTAGTTTTATTAGGCCCCCATGAAGAGAACCAGGCGCTGAAGCAAGTGGCCAAACGGTGGTACGACAACTTCTCTGATAGTTAAAGGTGGGGTAGGTAATTCACTTCAGAAACACGTTTTGTTATATTCCATGGAATGCTCTTAACATCCCGATAGCAATGAATATCTGAAGTGCTTTGACAAAAAATACATTTAAAAAATGTCATCTGTGGAAGCCGTGGTACTGTAAAAAGCACGACCAATCATTTTAGCCGGCCCGGCTAAAATAACTGGATGGCCTACCTGCCTGTCAGCCTTCCATCTGTGCACAAACTTATCTCGTGCCGTAATTGGTCATGTGTGTGTTGGAGGAGGGGCTCTGTGAGGAAGTGGCAGATCTTTTCCGGCTGTGTATTTTCAAATTCTAG